CTCCATTATTTTTTTTTTTAATCAGAAGGTACTTTTGTCCTCAAATCCAAGGAAAGGAATTAAAATCATATTATGTGTTATTATGAATAAAGACATCTACTTGTGTATGTTGTTGTTGTTAGGTGCTGTCAAGTCCAGTATGCCCCACTGACACTCTATACACAACAGATCTGAAACTTGTTCTATCCTATCCCATCCTCACATCTCCTGACACATTAGAGCCCATTGAGGCAGTCACTGCATCAAGTCACTTGGTTGAGTGTCTTCTTCTCCTTTACCAACCCTCCACCCTTCCCAAGATCGTGTCCTTCTCCAAGGAATAGCCCCTCCTAGCAACATGCCCAAGTATGTGAGGCGAAGCTGCATCATCTTTGCCTCCAAAGATCACCCTAGCTGCACCCTCTCCAAGACACACTTATGTATGATGTGGTGGAAAACTGTCTCCAGAACGCTATAAATGTTTCCACATGCATGGTAGTCCTTTCTCCGTTATGTCACAGGATCCACTGGGCAAGGTTCAGAGCCACTGTTTATAGGGTTGTTCTGAGTCATTATGGACTCAGCCTCACCTAATGACACAGTGACAGCCTTCCTCTAGAGGAATGCCAAAATGGCAAAGAATTTAACAAACAAAAATAAAACCCTACTAAAAAACCCAGACAACCAAATTCACTGTCACTGAATCAATTTCAACTCACAATGACCCTCTATCAGGTTTCTGAGGCTGGAAAAATCTTAGGAGGAAACTGCCCATCTATCTCCTGTAGAGTATTTGAACTGCTGGAGGCTCGTGGCCTTCTGGCTCCACAACACACAGACTATGCCACAAGAGTTTTTAGAAACCTAGAAAAGACCACAGAGCTCTTCTCAAAAATACAGTCACAAATTATGCATACAGTTGTGAGGAAAAGCCAGAAGCTAGCCAGGGACCCCCAGAGAAAAGCCTCTTCTAAAAACTTTCCATGCTCATTTCTACCTTTCACACTGGCACTATAATAAACTCAAAATCCTTTTGGGATGTGGCGCCAAGGGTGGGTTGGGCAAAGGGCAAAAGTTCATTACTGAATTCCTTAATTCGGTATTCAACACCCTTGAAACGCTATCTCAGTTATACAAACATTTTATCTACTTACCTATATATAAGACTTAACTGTTTCCTACCTCTTTTTATGTAGTATGTGCAATTCTCTGTATGCAGTATGAACCAACTCTTCATTCCTTAGGAATGCTTACTCTTCCTTTAAGGCTCAGAACAAATATTAACTCCTTTAGGAAGTTCTTTCAAACACTTAAGCGTAAATGTTCTACTGGGATTTTTTAATGCACTTTTCAACTTTCACTGGGGATAACCAAAATAAAGGATTAACTTTCTGAAGCTTTTTTAGTTTTCTAATCAGCTATGTGATCACTGAAAAGTAGTCTTGAGAACTGGACATTAATAAGGACTAAAAGCTTAACTGCCATACCTTCTTACAATACTTAATCCAAATCGGATTTCCCTGCCCTTATCATCCATAGCTCGCATCTTTCTAGAAATGCTGTCTTTGGCATTACACTTCAGAACATTCTGTACACACTAAATAGGCCTAGTATTAAATATCCTATTCCAAATACAATTGTCATCACTAGTTTTTAAAAAGCAACTTTTTTTGCATCTATGTAGTTACAAGGTATAATTTATGTTCATCTTATGAACATATTTAAAAAGGGAAATAAAAAATAAGCCCAAATACCATCATATAGAGTTAAGTATTTTGTGTTAAGAAAATCTTTAAATATATAAATATATAAAAATGTATATTTAAAATTTAAGCTACGACTATGCTTTCACAGTTTAGTAGTCTATTTCATTCACTTTATATTTTCAGTTTTATGATTTATTATTCAAAGCACTGTCATACATATTTCATTTTCTAAACTAAATGAGAGGCTTCAGTTGCTTAGAAACATGGACCCAAATGCTGATCACTTAGCTAAGCCACTAGGTAGGCTTGAGAAACAGTGAGATGTCTCTGCAAAACATATGAAGAGTAATTGTAAGCACACCAGTATAAAATAAAAATTTTATTTAAAACAAATACATCTAAGAAGACCATACAAACCACTGAATGATGTTCTGACTAGAAATGCCATGTCTATTCCTGTGCATAATCCGGATGATTACCCAGAACTTTGCACAAGTGGGGTTCTTTCAGCATTTGACAAAATGCCAATGCCATTCAACGCTTCATCATCTCCGTAATCTTTATGATTCATGCATTTTTATGTAGTAAAATCTCTCTGTAATGTCTCTAACTCTTAGCACAAGTAAATATGAGATTTATAAAAATACTGTGAAATTGTCTAGCTGACAGTCTAGCAGATTTTAAGAGGCAATAAATCTAACTGGAGGATACTGCCCATTTTTCTTGTGTGGAGGAACTGGTGATTAGAACAGCATGCCCTTGGGATTGCAGCACAGTTTTTTACCACTAGGCCACCGGAGCTCTCTAAAGTATGCTATAGCACTGACTATATAGATTAGTGGAAAGGTCTTATACATCATCCATAAAAGTATCAGCAATCATTATTTATGATCTCATTGCCACCAACTCAGTCCAAATTTGACAAGGATATTAGTAGGAGTCTGATTCAACGGCAAATTTGCTTTTCACAAAGTGAAAGCAAATGTCAAACTGTACTATCAACGACCATTTAATAGCCAGCAATGTTTTAAGAATTATATAAAACTCTCCAATTTACTTACAGATATCCACTAAATTCTTCTGAAGGTTTTCTCCAAACTGTGACATCTTTCTGAAAAAAAAAACAAAAAACAAAAAACAAAAAACAAACAACCAAAAAAAGCATATGATGATTATCACATAAGCATGATTCTACATTAAAAACATAACAACTTTATAGAACAAGAGTACTTTTTAAAATTTAGTTATGATCCACATCTGAATTTATTCTGTTAAAGTTCTTCACATTTTATCACACTTACAGACTTTCAAAAATAATTTCACTAACTTAGTAAGACACAATATAGTTAAATACAGTGATAGCACTATCTGATTAGCTGCTACCTTACTGCTCCATTCCCGTCTTACTTATTTGGCATTATTCACACATTTAGACTATGACACAAGCAAAATTAAATATTCCACTCTGAACTTGATCATACTAAAGAAAAAATGAAAAAAATTCAATTATGCAATATATCAGTTAAAATAATGCAATCTTGAATTAGTCCCCACAATTTCCCCCCCAATAACTTCTCAAGTAATTTTGAATCAGAATAGCTTAACCAGGAGTATCTCATGTTCTAGGACTGGCTTTGTCAGTAGTCATATAACAGTTTAGGTAAGCCACGTGATAAAAAAAAAAATAATTGATTATTTCACAGGCTTATTGATTTATCTAAACTAAATGATAAATTACTAACTAAAAACACTCAAATTACAGTATGTCCTAAATGGGAAACTACATATTTTATTTGTTTAATTAACTTATCCTTTAGATTCTTATCATAAGTCTAATCTCATGTCTAATAGCTTAAGGAACTAATGAAAGATGTGTAGGATTACTATTGATGCTTCCTCCTTGGTGAGATGCTTATTTATCGATTGTACATCCATGTAAAGGATAGTCTTCTATCACTGTTTTAAAGTAGTCAACCAATTCTTTAGATAGAAGGTAAACTCTACATGTTAGTAATTTAACTTATTTACCATTTTCTTAGCAACTCTCCATTTATCGTCATCAATGCTGTGGTACTGGATAAGAGTGTTTTGAAGCTTTGTGGCAAAAGCATCAGCATCAGACAGGCTTTCCATTTTTGTCCTGTTATAGAGATCAACATTGGCATCAGTAAATACTATACTTTGATGTAGGAAACCTATAGATAGGTCTCAAAATTGCTTCTATTAGAATCAACAGAGAATATATAAAAGATTGGT